TAATTGATGGTTGAAAGTTTTCTACTATTTTTTTACATATCCGAGTTCTCTACAAAGCGAGTTCCGCTACTCTGGACTCAGCACACTGAGACCTTTGCGCTGCTCGATACTGGCTACCGCCCTCATTACGACCCCCCCTCTCCTGGCGGCCAAATACGACCCCCCTATGGGGATTCCCCAACCAATGATGTGCCCTGTACGGAACTGCAGTAGGCGAACAACGAGACACCGTACCCCCAAAGAAACCGTAAATAATGTGGATGCACATCAAATACAGTATCTCACAACAGCGTCGAAATTGCCTAGGTAACGTATTACGCGTTGCGATGTGAAAGTGATCCAAATGAATTGATTGGAGCAGTGTTCGTAAGATTTAGAGAGCAGTTGGATGCTCGGATACATCATTTTCGGCCCTATTGAATTATCCAGTGATTCAAAAAATTTTTTCGCTGAATCTTTGTCTTTAGATGTTACTTGATGTCCTGATCACTTTTAAAAGTCCTGCGACACTTTGATTGAATTGTCCTAGAAAAAGAGACTGTCCTCTGGGGTTTCTGCACATGGGTATATCATGACTTTGAGGAAGTTTTCAAAGCTTAAAAGTCCCCCAGAGAAGTACTTTTCGACCTGTCCCATATTATGAGTTCCTGTAGGGCCACTCCGCCGTAGTCAAGGAAGCTGACACCTACGTTGTCTTGAGGAAGGATATCGCTTGCCTTGCTGTACCGATATAGCATATTGATTGGTAGTTCTTTGTTGCTAGTCTAGCGCTTCTAGGCTGCACTTACTTAACTCGTAGTTGGGCAATGTATAGGTATAGGTCGCCCATTAGCACAGAATGACGGCCCTTTACTCATGCTTTGCTTGAGACTCGGACTTTGTGAGTTCCTGATATCGTAACCACCTGCAACGTAACCACCTGCAAGTTGGCGACCTGTCTAGGCTCCATCTGACTGACAACTGCCATGCTTCTCCGCAATCTCGGTTATTCGCAGATCTCTCGAACAGAAAAGTAGATTGCACAGCCAAAAGCAGATGTGCATGGGATAAAGATTTCAGTGTGTTATTGGTGGGACTTCAAAGCGGTATCACTGGATACTAATGGATGACGTCACGCTTGAATTCATTCAGAAATACTCAATTTTTCTCTACTACTCGGTAATGCGAGGACCGCTGTGGGGATCAGGCTACGCCAAAAGATCATGCATTTCGATCAGAGAATGCGACCGTACTCAGGTTATTTAACAAAGTTAGCAGCCTCTAATTACCACCTCCTTTGGTCACTATCGCATCCTTCAAAAAGCAAAAGTTCCGAAAATCAACCTCAACTCGAGAATGAGGTCCACCTCTTCTTTTTACCACAGTTGCCGTAGTTCTATGAGAATGGAAATGAGAAGCTGTGCAAAAGAAAGGCACTAGTCCTAGTCATCAACTGCGGTTACCTTGTAGATTGGAGATGTCCTTTACTGACCAGAAATTTAGTTCGAAAAATTTGGTCAAAGTGTCGCAGGACTTTTCGAACAACCTAATAACATTTATTTCCAGCACTGGCGTCATTAGGCAGCAATAGGCGCCAACATGGTGCCAGCCTTTTTCTCGCCAAATTTGTTGCAAACTTGTGTACGAGGGTAAACTGACATCCTGATCACGAATATGGGCACTATTGAACTATTCCTACCCCAAAAACCCAAAAAAATTTTTCGCTAAAACTTTGTCCATAGATGTTATTCGATGTCCTGATCACGAATAGGACATTCATTTCTGGCGCTGGTACCATTTGCCACTGGGCGCCAATTCGGCACCACAGCTTTTGTTCCCAAACCGATAAAAACGTGCTCGATACCCTGGTCACGAACATGGCATTCATCCCCCCCCCCATACCAGCGCTATTTAGCGTTCTGCTGAGGTGACTGAGAAAACGAGCTCTTTCCTTCCCAACTCAGTCTTAGCATAGCGCAGATGACCATGGTGTCCTACGTTAGCGCCGGCGCTAAGTATGAATGTCATATTCGTGATCAGGATGTCAAATAATTCCCGTATACAAGTTTTCATCGACTTCAGTGAATTGGGGTGTTTTGGCACCGGCGCCTGTGGCGCGCAAGCAGTTTTGGCCCAAGAGGATGTGGTATTCGTGTTGAGGAAATCGAAGTACCTCTGCAAGCAGATTTTCAGACAAATCCGATTTTGTAGAAAAATGTCGGCGGCCTAGTTTCGGCAACTGGGGTAGCAATAGTTTAATAGTGCCCATTTTTTTCTATGATTGCACTTGTATAATCGGGTTTCACTGGCACTCATCGAAAATAGCCCCCACACGGGGTCAGAAAGAAAAAGTCACAAAATAGTCTTGCATGTTTTCTCCTTCACAGGTCACGCATTCAATCCTTGATTAATGCCGTGCTCCTTTCCATGTCGAGTAGTGGTCTTCAATAATCCACATTCCTTATGAGCTGCTTTTTGTCGTGCGGGACCGACTGGGCCTGCTGGGCTTCCTGTTGGTTTCGTCGATACGGCAGGGCATGACGACAAGATTGGTTTTTGTGAACAAAATCCAGTAGCGAGTGCGAGATGCTATATGTGCTAGCCTCTATCCACGGCTTCAAGTATAAGCTCGCAATTGGGAAACCTTGAACTATTCTGGCCTCGCTGGAGGTGGGGCTGGAATGAGCGATATACGAGGTTGTGGCATAGTGCTAGAGCATTCACTAATCTGGAAGGCGACAAGTTCCCCATTCCGAAGCAGTCGTGCTGACTTTGAAACCTAAATATTCTTATTTGATCTTGCGGTGGGCTACGTTCACAATTCCCGTCTGCGTTTAAGCGTTTTGGGCAAAAAATAAATTAGCTATGCGACCCAGCGTTTTTGATCGTGTGTGAGGAAGGCAAGGCTGTTTCAGGAATAACATAGTCGTACAGGATATCCGCAACCTGCTACAATCGTGCGGGTGGTAATCGCGGATCGAGGGCTGAACGAACGCCAGATGCAATACCTACAGCGATACTTCTCCGTCACAGATCGGGCTGAGAAAAATTTTGGAGGGGTTACGGTAGCTGTCACCGGAGATTGGAGATAGGTGTCGGGTGTGGGGTTGTGTAACCTACGCATTAGACGAGTAGGCCATGAGAGCGCTTAATCGAAAAGCAAAGGATATGGTTTGTGATAGTGTAGCTCAGGTGAGGAAGAGAACTGGCTTAGCCTCGCTCATGCCCTAGTGTCTGACTGTATTACTCAATTCTCTTGAGTAAGGGTCTTTCAGGTCGTGTGTGCCGCGGAAATGATTCGTGCATGTTGTATGTCCGAATAAGGATCACAAAGTGTGTGTTGTTTTGCTAACGCGTTATCCGGGTAGAGTGTCAAAAACTGAGTGCAAAGGTTTGCTTGGGGAGAAGCTATTTGATGACCCACTCTCTTCCCGCACCTCGCCGCTCTCTCTCTTCACCTCTCCATAATGGTTAATGTATGCATAGCAAGTCGAGACGCGCTATCGTTCGACACTGCATCGAAATACACATACAACTCAGAGGTAAAGGAATTACTTTGTTTGTGAGCATTGGTGAGTTTTCTCAAAAGGGAGACTCTCGCAGGCATCCCAAACCCGTTCCACCCCAGCTCGCGTGGGGGGGGGGGTGTTCAGAGCCATGTTGGCGCCAAAAGACCTAGGCGCCAATTTTAAAGGTCGGAATCGTCATCAGGGCCATTAATAACCTCTATATACAGACTTTCAGCAAAAATTTTCTCTTCGAGATGAGCGCCCTGCGTGCGAGTTGGCAACAATTCAGTGGAAGGTGGAAGTATGCTCTTGCAGCAAGTCGGCGCTAGGCTGCGCCGTGGTCAAAAATGGGTGTCGTAAATCCAAAACCGAAAAACGTATAAAGTATCCGAAAAATGCAAAGAGTTAGTCGCCAAGGGGATCCGATCCAAGAACCTTCTTCGCGAGAGCCCACCGCACTATCCACTCCGCTATCCACCAACCGCGAAACACCGGTTGCGAGAATCGTTCAAGTAACTGTATTACTCCCGTCCTCTTCTAATTGGCTTTTAACTTTGGGGCTATGCTTTCAATACATAGTGAAGGGGGAAACGTCCATGAAATCTATGGCAGTCTGTCAAAGTTTTACAGCTACAATCAGAGCGCGCATTAACAGGTTAAAATCGGGCCCGATTTCTCGTTCAAATTGTGTTGTCCGACATCAGTTTTGGACTCCCACAGGGAAAAGATGGGCAAAAATGAAACAATTTTTGTAAACATTGCATGAACGCTACAAGCGAGCAAACATAACCTTGTTTTAGAAACGCTCCACGGTCCTCAAGGACTGTTGCCTTGTTTAGATGTGGTGTGTGGGCTTGGCGCACTTTTACTGAGGCGTGGCGGTGACTTGCGTTATGTGGAAAGTATATTTTATTTGACAAAAATTGCAAGGGGCGGTGTTTCGCCGGTGGCAAGTACATTGGCACAAGATAACAGTTGCCTTGGGCCATGTTGGAAAGTTACGCCCACTCTGTCCCAGAGATGAGCTGTACGCTACCGGCCGCGAGGACACTCATCGTAGAGAAACGACCTTTTATTTCGAGGAAGGGACAATGGACCAGGCGGGATTCGCGCCGGCGTGACCGCGTGCGGTGGCAAAGCCTTGTCTGGGAGCAAGGCTTGATTATAGCTCAAGATTTCTGTGACTCGTTGAGCGCGAATATACCATTTCACTAGACGCAATTACGGAATTCTGTTTGAATGGTCTATGTCTAGGATATTATGGTTGATTGGCCCAACGATGATTATACTGTGAAGCTTGGCCTGTGAGAACGACCAAGTCCTAACGTTAGGCCGTAAAATAAATATTTCCACCTAAAAACCTCGAGTGGCACAGCAATTTAAACAGAATAAACAACGATGCCGAGGTTACAACAAGAGAGAACTTGGAGAATAATTACAGAATATTTATTCTCTGTTAACCTGTTAACGAAGTAAAAAGCACTCAGGCAGCTCTGATTAGCAATGACATGTTCAAATCTTGTTGAAAGCAACGATGTCCACGGATTGCACCTGCAATGGTACGATAGAGGAAACTAGCGATTACTTGCAAAGCCGTCAAAGCCGAAAAATAGAACCAGCCAAAGGCACATTCCACGCTGACCATATGCGTGGGGGCAAGGCTGCCTTTGGTAGTGGCTTGTCCTCTATACACTCGAAGGGACAAGTGCAGCGATGAGGTATCTCGGACTGTACCCTTAATGGGGAATGTCGACTACCTCATGCTTTCAACTAGTAAAGCCAGGGACACTTTATGTAGAGGCAATATAGTACCTGTTGCTGAATACCCCTCCAATTAATTAAAGCACACACTCTCACACCCCGCTAAACCAGTCTAACCTCAGTCAGCCGTAGGCATCTGACCAGGGACGATCGGAAGGATAACAAGTTCCGCAATTCGGGGACTATTTGACTCAGCTTCACTGGGGAACCGGAAATCCACGAGAGACTTTAGATATGGGACCGGTTTCGCTGAATCGTCCAGCTGGACAATCGGCAAGGTCTACTCGTACAAAATCGGTCTCATCCCGAAACAATGGGTGTGAAGGGGTACTCTACAAACTCAGCAAAACTTTCCCTCACTGAACGACTGCAAGAATGCTCACAACCAGAAATGACTCTAATAAATGAATATTAGTCATTTTTATACTGCTAGACACAACTTATACTGCTATTATAACACTTACATGGCTCTCGAAATCTCCAGTGATCTTTTCAATCAAGTCATCAACTGACACCTTATCATCTTCGATTACGCAGATGATTTGTAGTTTATTGATTCCTGGAAATAATATTATGTAACGCGAGCACTTCGATTCGCGTCTACATAAGATTCTATCCAAAGCTCACCGTATCCAATTGGAAGCAATTTACCGCCTCCCCAGACAAGACCGTCCATTTCAATGCTACGCACTAAATTTTCCATTTCCTTCAGATCAGTTTCATCATCCCAGGGCTTCACGTCAAGAATCACGGAAGACTTCGCGATTGGTCCTGGCTACAATGTGGGAAGGTTAATCGTTTTGAATAAGAAACCAAAATGACCATCAGTCACTCCCTTCTACAATTACACGTTCACTTCGATACTTGCCCAGACAGGTAATATACCCACAATAGTGACAAGTGAAATCAAAGCTGATCTGCTAAACATATGAAGTTCAAAGAGGATTCTAAATATTAGTGGGACCTTCTTTGATTTCTTCTCTGCGTAAGCCTTGAGCCTCTCTTCGACGACCTTTGCTTTCTCAGCATCTTCCTCGTCATCGGATCCGAACAGATCGAAATCATCATCACCAGATTTTTCCTCTTTCTTCGTCTCTTGAACGGGTTCGTACTAAATCAACACTATATGAACAATTTGCTACAAAAATAGTAATAAACAAAAGAGGCAACAACTCTACTCAAAAGGGAGTCAAATAAGTGGCGATGCTCGGCAAGATCCCAGTCAGGGCACGTCCCTTCGCTGGGGATAATTTTTCAGAATGGTCCTCCCCCAATTTTCTCATCTGGACGACCCCTTTTTTCCATCCCCATCCTACCTACCATCTTCCCAAATTTCCTTCCAAAACCTACTTCACTTTTCTCCCAAAAACTTGCTTAGAGAGAGAGAGGAGAGAGAGAAAATAGCGCGGAAACGGGAAATACCGAAACGATTCAACATTAGAAAACATTCACGTGAAGGCAAATACGAGGCCCGCCCTTCCAGCGACAAAATACTCCCCCTCCTCTCTGGGGACACGCAAGGTACGACGCCCTGACACCGGTTTTTGTGAAGATACAAGTTCGCGCTGACTCAGCGTGTATGAATTCCCGCATTGCAGTTACAACATTCTTGTGCCGTACTTTGTGATGTTCTACATTCCGGCTAGAGACTATCAAAACCGAAAAAATTGCACGCTTAATTTCTATACCGCTTTACATTTTATTTTTATAGGATATCACTTAGGGCTGAAAGTGCGAAGCAACGAAAAAGGGAATGAAGATTTCTTTAAGCCCAGAGGAAAGTAGCTGCGTAGTGGATAAATTATTTCCTTGTGGTAACCATGTCGAAACCATTTCCCAGTCGGAAGTAGATGATACTACTTTTCCACACCGCTCATGATCAAATTAAATGGAAGTTTCAAATGGATATGGAACTTTTGTTAGCACTAACAACCTTGTGGGGAGAGGGGGGGGGGGAGAGGGGGGGAGAGAATTTCTCAGTTAACCTAGTGCCAAATAAAGCACTACGTGAGACGACTACTCGTTCACTTTCATGACGATAATGGCCATCTTCAGAATCTCGCTTCCCATCTACAACGAACAAAACGTACTTTGCGGCGGAATTACTTCATTGCCGGGTGAACTTTCTCGATCGTTTCACGCAACTCTGCCAGCTCTTTTCTGATCAGCTCGTTCTCCTTTTTCAGGGCTTTCATCTCCTCTTTTAGACGATCTGAAGAATGTGTGAAGAAGAATCACGAGTTTAGAAAGATAAGAGTGCGCTCATGCTGTGCGGCAGCGTTTTTAATTTACCAAGGGTTTTCAACGTTGGGCAGCAATTTCAGCGTCCGCCAGCATTTTCAGCGTTTTGCGCAATTAAGAAAATATGGGTGCGATTATCGCCAGAAACGCTAGCGCCGCTCGAAACGCAAGGTTTATACCTATACTTTTTTAGTCGCTCAAACGCTCAAAACGGTGCCGTAAAGTATGAACGCACTCTGAGATGCGACAACTACACTACAAATTGCCGTTGACTTCACTTCTGTGCAAGCAGTGAAACAACAGTTTCAGGATTTCGTAGTCAAGGCATTAGTCTGGAACTCCTTTTACACTTGGCAACTAGCCATGGCACCGCTTGCTTGCGTGTAAAAGAGGCTCAACATGCACATCAGCATACTGATCATCTACAAAACTACACAACACGGAGGAAACGCACTGCACTTTTGCAACATTAGTTTCAAGAACTGCACTGCAGCCATTTCACAAGACGCTTACTATTTGCAGGGCCAAGCAGAAAACCAAGGTTAAGCTCGAATGTCACAAAGCCATTTGAATGAAAACGTTTCGTTTTCAGCAGGATTTTGGGCCTCATATTTCATGGCATGCTTGACCCTGCTGGCACTACATTTACAGTCCTGCTTTCATGCGTCGAAACAACTACACATGCCAAAAATCCGCGAATTACCATCGGTTACAAATCCAGGATGGGCCTCCTTCTGATAATGCTTTCGCTACTATGTCTTTCGCATATTGAATTGCAACATGCAAATCACCTTTCGGTACCACCTGCATGTCGGTTTTCGGGACGATTTCCTTGCCTAAAAATCACCACCTCTCTTAAAATACAGAAAAACTATTTCACTACTCAGTTCTACTTTCTACTGATAAAATGGTTGTTGGAAACAGTGCTCGCGGAGAACGTCGAGCAGGAACGTTTCTAGTTATTGACGCAGTAGCGCGACGTCATTCCTACTTATTGCGTACCCCTCTTACTAGTTTTTCTGGTTAGACCATCGGAGAAATTTGGTATTTCTGAGCTTCCTTGTTATGAAGTGGCATCCTCTTGAAATGTTTCCGGACTAGTAGTCGGTTGGGAATCATTACGAGTCGACTGGTAGGCTCAGACCGTGTTTGTCACCACAAATATTTGAAGATCCTGTGGAGCGGGCTCTACACAAAGCCGAGCGAGGCGATCCGCAAAAGGGTGTGTTTATACTTCGCGATCCAAACACCCGCGATTCGATGGCGCAACCCAACCACTTAATCGATTGGATGGCGAAGTATGGACGGACTCTGAGGGTGCCTTCATACCTTACGACGACATCGACGTGAGGCATTTTTCACTGTCTGCGACCCTGACGAAACGGCGCTTGGGCGAAAGGCAAAGAATACGGATTGATCGGAGAATCGCCAACCGCTCATTTCACCGAACCGGGCGAATAGCAATATGGCGTATCGATGGCGAAAAACGCGAGGGCGGTCGAGCTAGCGTTTCGCGAAGGCGAAAAACGCCGCGGTTTGGCGAAACGCCCGTCGATTCGTATCAAAACCCTTTCGCCCAACCGCCAATCGATACGTATCGAAAGCTTTTCGCCGAAGCGTTTCTTTTTAGAGAAACGCTGAGCCGCAGACTGTGAACAATGCCTAAGCGAAGTTTTCGGCGATTAGTTCGCGAAGTTGAAATACGTATTGAACCGACGTGACTGGCGAACGTAGCCAACGTAACCGGCGACAACCTTTCGAAGAGTTTATACGTATCGACCCGACGTAACGTGACAGTCAATACGTATCTAATCTTGTCGTCGGTTATGTCGGTTATGTCGACGCGTGGATCGATATGTATCTAGTCTTTAGTCGCCCATTACGTCGGTTACGTCATCATGGCGATTACGTCGGATTGATACGTATCCAGTCTTCGGAAGGTTGTTGCCGGTTACGTCGACGTCGGCAACGTCGTCAAGCTATGAACGCAGCCTAAGGGGTCTGGCATACGATTCCAGAAAACAGCAATGGGCGGGTACCACGGCTTCTATCCTGCTTGACTCGCCCCATACCACACTTCACCGGTTTTGCTTTTTTTTGTTTTGAAGATAAATATTTCACTTACTGTGACCGTGACCATGTCCGTGGCCGTGGCCATGTCCGCCATGGCCGTGCCCATGTCCGTGCCCATGGCCGCTATTGTGATCTCCGTGATGATCCCTCGATGTTGAGGGCGATACATGGGTGTAGACTTGGTGATCACCAAAATAAGCCTGGTCAGCGGCGCGCACTGCCAAATTTGAACCCAAGAAAGTCGACTTCTCAGACAGCAGGCCGTCAACCGAAGACATAGTTGGTACTGAAACAATTCATATGAAAAACAGCGAATCAATAGTTCACATTCACAACCGACCATTTTATAAATAGGCTACAACAGTTCAATGGTAGCATCCCCAAATGGAACGCTGCATTTTGAACTAGCGGTTAAAATTATGGAGCTGGAAGAAAAGACACTCAGTTCGATCGTTCCAGTCACAAAAATATCGTGCGTGGACTCATCCCGAAAAGGAAAAGAACAACTACCAGATTTTAGGCCTAACGAAAATAAAGTTTTAGTCAATTACGAGCCCTTAATTAATGCAGTCTATCAGACCGCAACTCATTGCTCACCTTCCCCCACGGTAGCAAAATTTTATAAAGCGAAACACTCCACCAGCGAAACCAACAAGAAAGGATATAAGTCGCCCAAAAATTGTACAACTTATTAACCATTGCGACATTCCACGTGTATGGGACGTAATCTCAAACTGACACAAAGTACCGTATATGTGGAAACGATTGGAGCACAAAATCGTACTTTTGTAATTTTGCGTTCGTGGAAGGGTTTCCATGAATGGAAAGTGTTCCTCGTGCTATAATCAATTGCAATCAGTCGGCTTAGCTAGTGTGGCTTTGATTTTTCAATGTTCGGTTGGTGGAAATAAATATCAACTTAACTGGCTAACTGGAGTTCTGGCTCTCTACCAGGCACTGCAATTGCCGGTGGCTCTCTACCAGGCACTGCAATTGCCGGTGTAATCAATCGTGCCGGCGTGATCTCGTTAATGGTAAGTAGCAGTGGTTCGGAAGGAGCAGAGGAAGGCACGGCTTCTTACATGGGCTCTTTAGCCGAGATGGCAATCGCCCTTCTTCTGCAGTGTTTTATATGAAGGGTAATATTTTCTTCAGAAAATGAGCTCATGAATCATTTGCCTTTCAGAGTTCTTAGAATGAATCACTTCCAACAACATGTAGCTAGTGAAGTTGTCGAGTCGTCGTCGTCGTC